TTATTCATTCTATCAGCTCTATTACTTTAGAGAATTCTAATGTGTGTGGGTACCAGCATTTTCAACTCAAGGTCTTCATGTTTAGGCAGCATGTTTCCTTCTGCTAGAATTAGTGAGGCTGAGGCAGGAGAATAAAACCTGAGGTCAGCCTGAGCTACATGGACAGACGCTGTCTTAAAAAACAAAAACCCATAAAATTCAGTATAGCTACTTTTTCACCTATTCTTGAATGTGGTCTTCCTGAACTTCAGTTCGAGAGCCTAGAAAGAACTCTCTATTTCTTTAGGCCTCGAGGTTTTGGTCTTAGGGAGGCTATGAACTTGGATCTGTGGCTTGTCAGATCACAGACATTCAACATCTGGCAAATGTCTTGACAGAGATCTTTTGTATTTGCTGCAGTGTCCTTTCTGGCTGTAGGATTTTGCTCCTCCACTATAAGACTGAAGGTTTTATCCTGCCTTTTTAGTTGACTTTCTGTTTCTGAGAACTGGGGAAAACTGGTTTTGTATTTGGGCTATGAATTTGTCCATTTGTCAATCTACCAGACCAGACCCAAATGACTGCTAAGAGTTCTGTCAACTTCCATTTCTTCCAGGATGGCTGGGTTCATCTTCGTTCCTTAGTGTACAATTTATCCTCAGGAAAGAAAATAGCTAATGATCACTAAGAAGTCTTTCCCTTCAGAAATTTTAGTTCATCTACACCTTGATACCATCTTATGTCTGTAAAATGTGTTTGTTACAGTAGAATTTTTTTTTTAGTTGCCTTGGGAGCATTGCCTGCTGTGACCTATTTGCCAAATGTGAAGAAATTTGCCAATATACACTGCAAAAACAAGATTTGAGAGGAGATTTAATGTGGAACGTAAGGGAGAAGGAAAGAAATCAGCCAGTTTCTGGGTCGTAACTGGTATAGTTCAATAAGAGATTCTATAAGATGCTCTGATGTGGGGCAGGGGGCATCATGAGGTAGTTTTTTCCTTCTTATTTATGAAAGCACGGTCTCATATAGTCGATAACTGTCTCACACTTGACTTTGTAAATGACCTTCAGCTTGTGATCCTCCTTCATGTTGGCATTATAGGCTTGTGCTATCAGGCCTAGCTTACAAATTTGGTTTTTCAATACAGAATAGCTCTGTGATGGTTAGCTTTAATCGCCAAAGTGACAGAACCAAGAATCATCCAGGAAGAGCCTCCATGAAGGAACTGTCTACTCTGGGGTGGGCTAAGGGCGTGTTGATAGAGGGATTTTCCTGCTTGTAAACTGAGGTGGGAAGACCCAGCGCACTGTGAGCAGTACCATTCCTTGAGCAGGAGGTCTCCAGCATATAAGAGAGGAGAAAGCTTGCTAAGAGCAAGCAAGCCAGATGCTTATTCTTTCTCTGTTCTTGACTGTGAATGTGATGCTCTTAGTCCCTGCCTTGACTTCCCAGAAATCATGGACCATATCCCAAACTGCAAGGCAAATAAACCTTTTCCTCTTCCAAGTTGCTTTATGCTAGGATATTTTATCACAGCAACAGAAATGAAACTAGAACAGGCCCTAAAGTTTCCAGATTAGGAACTGAACCTGCTGTAATTCATTAGGATAGGAAACCACTAAAGGGAAACTGATTTTGATGGCAAAATCATGTGTTTGTTTCTGGACATGCTCAATTCTTAAGTATCTTTAAGATTTTTCAAGAAGTTATCTAGATTTACAGATTTGAGTCTCAAATAAGAGGCCAGGGATTAGGATACATTTTAAGGACATTTCAGAGAAATGATGTCACTGGTCTGCATTCAATTACCTCAATTGAGAATACAAAGAGAAAAGGGAAGGGAGCCCAAGCTAGACTTGAGGAATTCCTGTATTAAACAGACAAATCCCCCTCTTTAATTTACATTCCTGCCAATGCATCAAATATTCAGATGATTCTTGTTGCTTATTACATTTTCTGTTAGTAAACCAGACTGCTTTATCTAGGTGAAATTCTGCCTATTATCCATACTTTCATCAGTTCCTCACCATTTTTAAAATTCTGTAAAGGGAATCCACAGATCCTGTAGGACACTTTAGACATTTTTTCAGTTTTTTTCAAGTTGTAGGTCATGATTCAGTGGGTCATGAAATGAATTTAGTGGTTCTGATTAGCATTTCAAAATGAGGTAAACAGAAGGTGAACAGTCACAGTACAGAACATGCAGTGAGCATCCACACATTCTTGCTTGGTGACTTAACCAGTTTGAAGGCTCTAAATAGCACGGAGCTCTCCCAGGTTTGTATCTCTATCCCAGGCCTCTCTCTTGAACTCCAAACATGTTTAGACACTGCTATTGTGCATCCACTGGACACATGCAACTCAAATATGACGTGTAATCTTTGTTCCCATATGTGGTTACCAGATTTGGCAATGTCATCCTCTACCTTCTCCCTGGGGTCATTTTTACTTCTCACATTCTATTATACAACACATCTCATCTCAATAATTGCTATTAAATCTACCTCAGAATCCAAAGGCTTCCTACCCTAACTAGTCACCCCGGCCCACGTCCTTCTTCTCATTGGGTTACAGTACTGGTCTTACAGTGTCTCTGCTTCTACTCTGGCTCCGTCTGCGGTCTGTCCTAACACAGAAGACAGCGAGTCTTTAAAACAGGGCTCAGGGCCAGTGAGATTGTTCAGACCAAAAGGCACTTCCTGCCATGTCTGATGACCTGAATTCAATCCCTAGAACCCACATGGTAGAAAGAGAAAACCAACTTGCAAAGTTGTCCTCTGACCTCCACATGTAAACTGTGGCATGTGCATGCATATGACACACACACACACACACACACACACACACACACACACACACACACACACACACAAGTAAAAGAAATTTAAAGGGAAAAATCAGGACTCAGCAACTTTTCATGTAGAAGGCTACATTATTTAGGCTTTGTAAACCGAGAAGAAAATTTTAATAAATTATAGTTACTCATATAACAAGATTTCTAAAATCTTTTGACAAAATTAAAAATATAATAGTAGAATATAATTTTTATAAGTCTACTAATGATAACAATGGATTTTCTTTTTGAAATTTTTATTTATTTCTATTATTAGTGTTGTGTGTATTCATATTCAACAGCATGTGTGTGGAGTTGGATCTCTCCTACCTTTATGTGGGTCCCAAGGACTGAACTCAGGTCACCAAGCTTGCCTATTAGGTGGTCAAGCTTGTTTTCTACAGAGGCAAGCATTTTCTTGCTGAGCCATCTCACTGGCATTTTTTATTAAAAACGAAAACAAAACCCCTGTTATTTTGCTTAATTAAGGTTCAAGACCAATGCTCCTTACCCTAAAATGAACTGCAAATGTTTATCTGGTAAAATGATTCTTAGCTGTGGTCCTAAGAGAAAACACACAGTTGGATGAACCTTATCTGGCAGGCTTAGTTTGCTCTATCTCTGCTTGAAAACACAGTCAAGCCTCTGCCAACTAGTTTTCTATTGCTGTTCAACAAACTCCACAAACTGAGCAGCTCAAAACAATCGCCATTTATTATCTGAACAGTCCTGCAGGTCAGAAGCCTGCGCCCCAGCTTCTCTGCGCAGGTTCTCACAATGTGAGAATCCTCTTTGAGGGTCTGGGAAAGAGTCTTCTCCCAGGCTCCCTGGGTTGCTGGCAGAAGTCAGTTTCTGTGATTGTCTGAGGTCATTACTTCCTATGGCATGTGCCACCTGTGTTTCCCCAGTACCCACTGTGTCTATTACTATTTTCCGTCTACTCTCTCAGCTCATTCTGCTGTGAGCCAGACTAGCTTTCATGCTATTGCTTGAATCTGCTGGGTGCACATACACTCATTTCCTTTCCTGGTGATTGTTGTCATTTGATGTTTTTGTCCCAATTTTTATTATACTTGCTACTGAACGATCACTATTTTTTTTTTTGGTTTTACGAGACAGGGTTTCTCTGTATTGTTTTGGAGGCTGTGGGTCCAGCCCGGCCTCGAACTCACAGAGATCCGCCTGCCTCTGCCTCCCGAGTGCTGGGATTAAAGGTGTGCGCCGCCACTGCCTGGCCTCACTATTTTTTTTTTTTTTGACACAGGGTCTCACTATATGGCCCTTGCTGGCCTGGAACTTGCTACATAGCTCTGCCTCTGCCTCCAGAGTTCAGGGACTAATACTATTGATTGCCGAGGTTAACCTGAAAGGGGAAAAAATTCTCACAGGGGCCCAACATTAGACGAAGAACTAGAAGCAACTAAGGAATGTTGAGAGTAGGAGAAATAACAGTCTCCTCCAGGGAAACCAAGCCCTAGTTGGTTATCCAGGACCAAGTGGTCAGTCACAAAATTATACACATACAAACAGACAGATTGTATTTATATATTTAGAAACACACACACGTACACTACAACTTAAAAAAAAATGAGGCCATGACTTTGAGAGAGAGCAAGAACAAAGTGGGAAGGGATACATGGGAAGGTTGGAGGGAGGAAAAGATGTAATTATATTTTAATTTCAGAAAATTAAAAATAATATTCATTGAATAACTGAAATGGAAATTCCACTGTTTTCTACCTATGCATATGTTTACTAGCTTGTGATGTAAAATGCTTATCTTACTGATGAATACACTCCATAGAATTTGAAAATTACCGCGGCTAGACCATATGATTTCTAGGGTTCTTTCCCAACTATAGCATTTAATGAATTTCTTTGGGCAGCTACACAATCTGCACCATATAGTCTTTGCGTGACAGGAAGGTTTATGGCCTCGGGACTACAGCAAGACACTAAATTACTGAAATATAACACATACCAAAATAGGAGAATAGTCATCCCTACACATTCTGTAATCACAGACTAGGAAGAAATGTGACAACAGACAAGAGCTGCTTACTGCCCCAAAATGCAGAACCATAAAGCTACTCTTCTACAATCAGAAGAAGATGTAATTTCAGAACAAATGACAAGAGACAACGTTTTCCAGATCAAAATTTCCCTAAGGCTTCCATTCACTTACTGAAGAAGGGAAGAGGAATGACGAAGGATGCCAGTCAAAGTCTCTGCTGTAGAAATTGCATCCTTCACAGACTTTGGGAGTGAAGTCCACTTGTTAAGAAGGTAGGATTTCCACTCATCCACAGGCAGATCCATGCTACCTGAGCTCTGCAAAGTTAGAAAATAAGTATTCAGCTTTCTATAAATGCACAATTCTAGAAAAGTCGAGATTTCATCCTAGCAAGTGAGAAGCAACAAATCAACTCTTCAGGTCTTTTCTATATTTTTTGATATGCTGAAGGAGATATAATCGGTGGTACCAAGTCACTGGACATCCTGTCACTCAGAAATATTCTTTGGAAGACTGTTCGAGAAACTATGGTAGATAGTGGCCATATAAATACGTTATTTGATTCATATTCCAGTCCTTCTAGACCTGTTTACCTTAGTTGTCCAAGGTCTTAACACCGCAACTACGAAGTTAAAATTTTATTTTCTAAGATGGTTCAGTTTTCTGTTTCAATTTCCAGATCTTTCTTTCAGTTCATAGGCTCAGGTTTTTGTTGTTGGTGTTTTGTTTTTTGTTTTTTTTCTTTTTGAGATCGGGTCTTCCTATTTATCCTTGGCAGGCTTCAAACTCACAGAAATCTGTCTGCTTCTACCGCCAGAGAACTACCACTCCAGGCCCCAAATTTTTATTTTTGAGGGTCTCATGTAGTCTAGGCTGACCTCGAATTCACAGTGTTGCTAGGGATGACCTTGAACTTTTGTTATCTTCACATCCCAAGGGCTGGAATTACATACCACACTACAGGCTCCCAGTCCTTTTATATAGGGAATTCCTGCTTTTAGGAACACCACTAAACTAGCATGTTTGTCTAGTTTTCTTAGGTAGTAGAAGAAATGTGAGCTTGTAGGCGGGGACCGGGATGCCTCGTGGGGAGGGTATTGACCACTGAGACCCCGGGAGGCTTCCCCCGTGGCCATGCAATGTCCTCCCCGATGCTCTCCCGTTCTACAGCGGCTCCCTCCCCTGTCTGCTTTTCCACCTGACAAATTCCCACGCAATTTGACTCAGTTTAAACGAAAGCCCCCCTCCCGTACCCAGGGACTTCACAACACATGGGACCTATTTCGGGTCTCCCCTGAGGCTGGGCACATGGTGCCTCAACTCCCAGGTCGGACTACGCTCTTCTGAGGGCGGGGACTGAGTCTGATTTACCTTGTTTATCCCAGTGTCAAGCTCTGGGTCTGGCACGGGCGCCGGGCACGCACTGCGTAGATGAAGGACTCAGGTCACTGCTTTGACTATATTTAGCAGCAGAGTTACCAGGGAACAGCTCCGACTAGTCCCTGGGCTGCCATTCTACCCAACCGCCAAATGGGCGGGCAAACTTCCGACAGCTGACAAGAGACCAACTCAGCCGCACCGCGCAGACACCGGCGTACCGTGGTCCAGCGCCCCGCCCTCAGTTCCCGCCATCCCGCCATTAGGCCTCGAACACTACCTCCCGGGTCACGTGCTCCCCCCGCCGCGCGGTAGCCAATGCGGTGGCTGCCGGCGCCTAGGCCCGCCCCTCGTACCGCGCGCACGTTGGGGGCGGGAACTGCACGCGCAGCTGTTCTGGCCAATCGGTGAGCAGCCCGCGGGACCCCGGCAGTGAAGCTCGGGCAGTGTTGGAGCGCGAGCGCGGGAGTTAGCGGTGCAGCCATGGTGGGACATCTGAGCGAGGGGGCCATTGCGGTAAGGAGACAACTCGGAACGGGGCGGATGTCTCTGGCAGCACGGGTCTGGAGCGGTGAAAAGCAGACAGGGGAGGGAGCCGCTGTAGAACGGGAGAGCATCGGGGAGGACATTGCATGGCCACGGGGGAAGCCTCCCGGGGTCTCAGTGGTCAATACCCTCCCCACGAGGCATCCCGGTCCCCGCCTACAAGCTCACATTTCTTCTACTACCTAAGAAAACTAGACAAACATGCTTCTACTTGCCTTCTGCGGCCTCTCTTTCCTCCCTTTCGCTTCGCCTCCAAACTTTTCTAGAGTTGCTAGTTTTCTTTACCTCCTTTACTTCTATTCAACTTTTCTCTGGTCACGAGAGAAAACGTTGAAGTCACCAGTGGCCTCCCAAGTAGCCAAGTCGGAAGACGTTTTTCGGTTTTCAGTTGACCTTATTGTTTGGGCTTGTTGGCCATTGCTTGTTTCTGCTATCACTACTGTCTTGCTAGGGTTCTGTGACTTACGTTGGCTGCTCTTTCCTTGTCTTATTTGCAAGCCCGTGTGTAAATGTTTGTTGACTCAAGGCCCTCTGTAGACTAGCATGTAGGGCCTCATCTGCATGTCCAATTTAAGATGATCTTCTATCCTCAAAGTCATCTTAAATTAAACATATATCAGCAAATCCATTATGTCCTTAAGTCTGAATTTTAAAAAGAATTACATGTGTATGTATATATGTATATGTTTGATGTGGTGTGGATGGCGAATGTGCAGTGGAAGTTTTTGTTAGATCTCCCACTTCCCTGGGGATTGAACTCAAGTATCAAGGCTTGCACAACAGGTACTTTTACCCACAGAGCCATCTTGCTGGCCCTCAGTCTGAATTTGTGGATCCCTCTGTCTCAGTGAATTACACCACTCATTGTTCTTTAATTTATACTAGTTAGAAAGTAAGGAATCCGTTTCCCTACTTATGCCTGACTGGAGTCTGTTTTAACTCCTCACAGATCTCTGAGTCATCTGCTTTCCATCCACACTGGAACAATCATTTGTTGTCTGAACTAGTCAGTCCCACTGAACACACTCTCTCCACAGTCCTTGCTTACTGTATCCTTGACAGGCCTTGTCTGTCTTTCTTTTTTAAAATAAGTCCTTTCCCTAGAGACTACTGATCGTTGTTTCTATTTCTTTAGCTAACAGATTCCAGTTCAGCTCAGTTGTTACTCAGATGGTTGGCAAAGTAACTAGACTGAATCCATTTATTTTTGAGACGTTTAATTTCTTTTTGTTTCCTTATTGTAGTATGTGTGACTTTCGGCAACATTCTGAACTCTTTCTCTGTAAAATGAGGGTACTTAGTACCCATTGCACAGGGCTATTTGGAGGATTGGGTTTCTGAATTTAGTGTTTAGCCCCTGCTAACATTGCATCATCACATGTAAATGCACATTTATTTGACTAATACTAGTTAACTTCGTGTTTCCTACACTAGGTTGTGGAGACTGAGGCCTGCAGCCGCTTCCCATATTCCTTCTTTCAAGTTTTAGGTTCCTAACAAATGTTTGCTAGTTGTTTGGATGAATGGAACAGTGGAGAGAAAGGAACAAAGGTGGAAGGGAGAAAAGAACCAGCTTAGAAGAAAATAAAAGGGAAAAACTGTTGTCAGAATCAAAGGTCTATTTGACTACATTAGGGTTGTATTAATGTTGAAGCTTGGGATGTGATTTTTGAATTGTCCTGATTAATGTTATGGCTGCCACCTTGTACTCTTAAGACAAATTACAAATGATTTTTTTACTTTTATAAAGAATGTTTGTAGGGTTATTTAAATAATTGGTAAGTTTTTCTTAAATAGAAACATTTAGAAAACTGTTTCCAACATTGGGTGAAATATTACTTAGACTTTGTTCATAAAGTTGTGGGATTTTTATTTATTTATTTAGGTTTTTTAAGTAAAAATGTTTTTGTTTGTTTTCGAAGACAATCTTCGCTATCCTGGAACTTGCTTTGTAGACCAGGCTGACCTTAAACTCATAGCAATCACCTGCCTCTGCTGGGAGTGCTGGGATTAAAGATGTGCCACCATGCCAGGCTCCATAGTGTTTTGATACCTGTTGATGGTGATGGATTATGGAGACCCTTGGTTACCTGATTATTAGCTAACAAAAGTGTTCTAGCACAAAAACTTCAGGCCCCGATGGCTAAGCAAATAACTGAAAATAGAGGTATTGGGGGCAGAAGTTATAAAATGAGGTTATGCTTGGAACTAATGTGGTAAGTAGGGTAAGTACGAGACTATTTACTTACTGTCCCCAGGGGTGGAAATCAAACCTTGGATTTTAGATGTGTATGCTAGGCAAGCACTCTAGTGCTAAACCATACCGCTGGCCAGTTCATGGCATATATATTTACATAATTCAGTTATAGAGAGAGAAAAAGGCAAGGAATACTTTTATGATTTCCAATGTCAGTTCTTTTTTTTTTTTTTTAAATTAATGTCACTTTTTACAGTCAAAGGTGTTAAAATGTAAAGAGGTAGCTAGGCAGTAGTGGTGCATGCCTTTAGTTCCAGTACTCTGGAGGCAGAGGCAGGTAGATCTCTGTGAGTTCGAGGCCAACCTGGTCTGCAGATCGAGTTCCAGGACACCTAGGGCTGTTGCATAGAGAAATCTTGTGTCGAAAAAACAAAACAAACAAACTACAAAAAGCAAAGAGGTATAAAGTGCCAGTTCCCTTGACTGTTATAATTTGTTGCTTTGTGATTTATTTTTTTACTAATAAGTTTATTTGGAAATTTTAATGTACTTTTTTAAAAGATTTACTTATATACTGTATGTATGGATGTTATATCTACATATACATCTGCATACCAAAGGGCATCGAATTGCTTTGTTATAGACAGTTGTGAGTCACCATTTGAGTGTTAGGAAGTGAACTCAGAATCTCTGGAAAAGCAGCCAGTGCTCTTAACCCCTGAGCCATCTTTTCAGCCCCAATTTAAAGTACTTTCAAGTGTGTTTATTATGCTATATCCCAGAAAATATTTTTTCCTTTGAGTGTTTATGATACTACATTTTAAATTAAGAACAGTAAAGTGGGGGAGGGCACGGGAGGAGGGGAGGGAAAGGGAGAGGGACCTGGAACTGACTTGTGAAGCAACCTTGTTTCTTATCTAAATTTAAACTGGAAAATAAAAAAACAAAAAACAAAAATAAATAAATAAATAAAAATAAACATAAAAAAAGAACAGTAAAGTAATAACCTGCACATGGTTTTGAAGTTAAACAGAATAGCAGGGTGCTTAATGAAATCATTGACCTTTGCTTCACCTTGCTCAGTGGCTTTTTGTTTGATTGTTTGTTTTTTGGGGGACAGGGTTTCTCTGTGTAGCCCTGGCTGTCCTGGAACTCACTCTGTAGACCAGGCTGGCCTTACCTCAGAGACCCACCTGCCTTTGCCTCCAGAGTACTGGGATTAATGGCGTGTGTCACCACTGCCTGGCTGATCCAGTGTATTTAAAACAGAGCCTTGCCATATAGTCTTTGCCCTCTACCTCACTGTGTAGCCTAGGCTGGCTTCTACCTATGGTAGTCCTCCTACCTCAGCCTCTTGAATGCTGGGATTACAAGTGTGAGCTATCACACCCAGGCCAGAAATAACTTTTCAAAGAAAAGGTTGTCCATGGGGGTCTGCAACATGACTCGGTGGGTAAAGTACCAAGTCTCATGACCAGAGTTTGATCCCTAGCATCTGTATGGTAGAAGGAGGGGACCGTCTCATGCAAGTTGTCCTCTGATCTACATGCACATGATGAGTAAAGATTAAAAAACAACAGTCATTCAACTGGGTTCTGTGGAACATTTCTGTAAACCAACTAAGGCAGAGTTTGAAAGTTCAAGGCTAACTTAGGCTGCATAGGAAGATCCTGTCTCAATAAGAAGGGAGGAAAAGAAAAGGTCCAGAGATGTAGCTGAGTTGATAGAGTGCTTTCTGCTTTGCATAAAGCCCTGGGCTTAGTTCCCAACATTGCACAACATTTCTAATGTGGTGGTTGGTCTGGGTCAGTAATCACAGCGCTTGAGAGATAGAGGTAGAAGGATTAGGACTTATCGACATAGTGAGTTCAGGGCCAACCTGGTCCATATGATACCCTCCCAGAAAAGTGCAGAAAGGGGGGGAATCTGTGCTTTCAGTTTTTTTTTTTTTTTTTTTTTTTTTTGAGAAACAGTCTCATTATGCCACACAGATTGGCTTTGAACTCCTGGCCTCAGTCATTTCCTGTTTCTACCCTGCCAAATAGCTGGGACTACAGACCTGTACTATACTAAGCCCAACTTTATTTTTATTTTTTGGCTATTGTAAATGAAGATGCTTTGAACATTTATTCGCAGATCTTTATACATATAAATATTTAAATATATCATGTATAAATTATTCATAATATATGCATAAATTATGTAATATGCATTAAATTTCTTGTATATGTAAAGTAATCCAGATATTTACAGATAAATATCTGAGAGTGCAGTTGCTAGGTCATATGGTAACTGAATGCTTAATTTGATAGAAATCTCCAACTTTTCCAAAGTGTTTTTGAAAATTCTAGTTGCCTCTGCTCAGTGCTATCCATCTCTGTTTTGCTATCCTGATGCATGTGTGAGTGTAATGCTGGCTCACTGTCATCTTTGTATTTCCTTGATGAGGAATGACATTGAACTTCCTTCAGTGTCTTTATTGTCCATTTGTAGAGTTTGTGAAGTGTCCACTTTTTT